GGCCTGATACAAAGCTGTCTGCTTTGTATCAGGCTTAAAATATGCCCCACTAAAACAGCTAAAATTGCTGTCTATGTACTGTGGTCAATATTTCTTCTTTTTTTCTCTGTCATATATATACTTGCATGTCTTACATCCAACTCCAACTGATTCTGTGCTGACCATGCAATATTTCTGCCTTGTGTCTCTAATATAATCTAATGAAGTTTTGTTTGAACAAAAAGTTCTCTCCCTGTTCAAATGCAGACTCCTTCTCTAGAGCTCTAGAGACTTTGCAGACCAAATACTATCAAGCATTCTTCTCCTCTCCCTCTTCCCAGCTTCCAGATCAGAATTGGAACAGCCTATCTCCTCAAACAAGATCGTTGAAAACATAAAACAATTAAAATCTCACAAACACCGTGGCACAAATGTTTTTCTACAATTTACTATAAAAAAAATCCCTAATTTGCTCACCCCTCTCCTTACAAATGCATTCAACAGTATTCTTAAGGGGCACAGATTACGAACAGAAACCTTAGATGCAATAATCCCCATGATTCCAAAACCTCATACAGACCCCAATTTGTGGTCTAATTAAGACCATTTTCATTATTAAACCTAAATATTAAAATGCTGGCTAAAATCCTGACTACATGATGTAACCCAATAATAGGTAATCTCATACACAAAGATCAGGCTGTATTCAAGCCAGCTCATCAGACAGGCGACAATATATGGCATATTTTACACCTTACCCATCATGTATGCCACTGTAACTTTCCCACCTTCCTCTTGTCACTTGACTTTAGAAAAAGCATTTGACATGTTATCATGGCAATATCTTTCCTATATTTTACCAAAATGGAGCTTAGGACCCATCTTTTACCCAAAATATATGTTCTTTGTAGTCCATTCTATATAAATCCCCACATGCGTAATGCCAATTATTCTGGCTTCAAATCCTCTGCCTTCTGCATCAAAAGAGGCCCATTACAGGGATGCTCATTCACCCCTCCATTATTCACACTTGTTATAGAGCCCTTGTCCATAGTAATAAGGCATAGCCTCAAAATCTCAGGGATCTTGCTAGTGAACTCATTTCACAAATTAAGTCTATTTGCTGAAGACTCCATATGGTGCAAATCCTCATACTTCCCTCCAAAATATCATGTCTATTCCCTCTATGTTTGTAAAAAATCTCAGGCCTGCACAGGAATGAAAATAAATCTAAGGTGCTAAATGTCACCCTACTACAGCAAAGCATTCACAAACTTAAACATAACTAGAGCTTCCAATGGCCACAAACTTCTCTCAACTATCTATGAATTCAGTTGACCACCACATACTTTATGAAAACCTCTATACCTCTAATTATTACACCCGTTACGGAAACCAAAGTCTTTCCTAGTGGAATGGGACAAATATCCATTATTTCAGAGTTATGCCAGTCGCCGTCTATTCCTATACCCTTTGATCATTGCAATGTCAGATCACATGCTTTGTGACCTGTTTAATCAGGGAGACCCTCACTTGAAACAAACACTCAAGGGGACTCGGATTACCACAGTTGCAGATATATGATTATAAAACTTAAATTACCCAAATCCCTAAATTTCATACCACATAGGAGACAGCCTTATGGGTGACCCACGAGACCATAAAATGCCACCCCATGTGAGTCCGTGATCTCTTCTGGCTCAGTCCTCCTGAAATACACCACTTACCCAACCCCATGATGAAATTTACTCACTAGGTTTGGGACACAGTTAAATACTCCAATCCCCCTGCAAACTCATTATCACCATTACGCATAAGCCCTCATTCCCCCATGATTTCTCACCCCCACTGCTTTCAATAAATGGATCTCTAGAGACCTTATTCAAGTATGGGACTTGATCTCCAAGGATAGGATCAAACCCTTTCTGATCCTACAACAGGAAAAAGAACTCCAGCTTGCAAACTGTTCCACTATCTACAGATCAAACATTTCCTAAAAGCAAACATTTGCAAACCTGACAAATCCTACAACTAACTAGGGCTAGTGTAGGATTCACATAACTGGTCCCAAATTAGGGAAACAACCATGTCCTGATCTCACAATGTACTGGCATTTGAGACCAACTATAAAGTCCTAATGCTGTGATATTTAGTACCATCCAGGATCGCTCATTATGCGCCAGGATGCTCAAGACATTGCTTCAGAGGATGTTGACAGGTGGGAACCTTTTTTCACATATAGTGGACCTATAATGTAGCACATAACATTTGAGATGACATATTTCAGATGATCCCTGAACTAATGGACCACTTCTTAGCCCAGCATTACAAACCTCCAGGTCTATCCAAAAGGCAATTCAAATTAGTACTGGAAGTCTAGAAAGTACTTACATTCTCCTTGGCTGAAACTCGGAAACAATGAAACGCAGTCATGGTACTTGAAGATATGCGCTAAACTTACTAACAAAATGGATAAATACTGTGCCTGTTCATCTGGCATCCCTGACCTTCTGATTCTTCCCCATGGGATTTACCAAAGATCTCTTCATCCTCTGAGGGCACGCTGGATACACCTATTTCAGTCCCAGACCCTATTTCTGTAAGTCCCTTACCAACCCCCTCCTGCTTCCCAAGTCTACACACTTATGTAATTCCAACTACCACCCACTCCCCCACTAACTCTTCCTACAGAGCACCAGTGGATTCCTTACTAGGCCAACCCCTAGATACTCCCTAAGGGTTAAACTGTTCAAGCTAATTTATGAACTGTATACTACCGAGAGAAATGAATTTACTCCAATGTTATTTTATGGCATCCATTACAACTGATATGTTAATTTGCAGTAACTTTTGCATATGTAGCACTACCCTTGTAAGGGCCTCTGGATTTGTTTTGGGTCCTCCTAAGCTCTGTATGGCCAGGCAACACGCATTTCCCACATTTTGCACACTGGAGTCAGTAAATAGTCATCTAGCTTGGTTTTGTAATTTTATTGAGGGGTTACACTTGGATAGGGTCTAAGGGCATATGGGATGCCTGAGGAACTGTAGATTTTGAGGACAACTCCTTGGCAACTATGTACAAAAATTCATATTAGCAACAGTCTCTTCTTGTAGAGCACTGAAGGCTCTTAGGTGTACCTCCTCAGACTCTGGATGATTCCTTCTCTTCACCCAGCTGCCTGAGGGTATCCCTGAGCAAGGGGGCCCAACAGCTGCCAATTGAACAGTTCCAGATGAGAAGCTAGTTGGGTGTTACACCTGAGTGCCCTCTCCCAGATGTGTAGAAGTACTCACACTGTCCTCTCCTGTTAGCTTAGTGGGTTGGTGCCTGCCTTCAGGCCTTATGTTGAGCTGGCTCCTTCCCTGATACACAGGCTGTCCTCCCCAGAAGATGCTGTAGGTAGGTTCCCCTTCCTGGGGCCCCCTCTCAGGCTCCTCACTCCAGCCTTCCTCAATCCATCTTCCACCTGACAGTGCACACCTCCCTCCAGGCTCTGCCATTTGAGGGTTGCCCTGATCACCATGCCCAGCCTCCTGCCAGGGGATTTGCCAAGGTCCCTCAAACATGCAGATCTGGGCCTCCTCCCCTCCTCTCCCCTGCTCCAGAAAGCTGTCAGGTTTCAGGAAAGGTGGGAAGGCTTTAGAAGCCCTGACCTGTTAGAGCCTCCCAGTCTGTCCTGAGCTGACCTCACTACCTTACTCCCAGGCAGACCCATCCCCAGGCTGCTACTCAGCCTCTATCTAACAAAAAAAACCTACCTAACTAACCCAGAGGGCATTACACATGGTTAACCTATTTTTCACTGTATCCTCAGAAAATTGTATTTTACTATTATTCTCTAATACAAAAATCAATAAACAAAATGAATGAGTAAAAAATGTATTATACATACAAACTATGTGATGCCAGAATATAGCATCACAGTGGTTTATGGGACCTTTCCCCCTATGTAACAAAACTGGTGTATGGGGATTGGCCATTCCGACATTGTCAAGTAGCAGCAGGAAGAGTGCTCTAAACCTGGGAAATGTGTTGAAACCTACACAGGTTTGCTCACACAGCCTCCTGCAGTATTGGAGGAGTAAAGGAAAGGTCAGTATGTGTAGTTTGTGGGGCATGAGGTTCACTTTAAAGCAGAACTCCTTGAAAACATTTTTTTCTTAAATCAGAGTTCCACTCACACTGTCAAAAAAAATAAAAGTTAGCAGCTACAAAAACTGTAGCTGCTGACTTTAAAAAACAGCCCCGCAGCCCGTTTCACAGGCCGTCCTGTGTTCCAGGAGGCCGGCATCTTCAGTGTGGGCACCCGGCTGTGGTAACTTGCGGCTTCACAGCCTGGTGCCCACTGCGCATGCGCTTCATGAATGGTCCTGTACAGGGGCGGACTGACAACTCATGGGGCCCCCAGGCAATAGGGGATCATGTGGCCCCTGTGTCCTTGCCCAAACTCAAAAAATCCTATGAAAAAGGTACCAGGGGCATCTCATGGGGCCCCCTATTGACCCTGGGCCCTCGGGCAGTGCCCGAGTTTCCAAATGGTCAGTCCGCCCCTGGTCCTGTAGTCTTCTGGGACCTGTCACGTGTCCCAAAAGACTACAGGGAGGGAGGGAGGACACCTTCCGCTTCAGATTGCCTAGGCTATCGGACCGGAAGTGGGAGCGGGTACCTGTCTAATTCGGGTATCCGCTCCCCCCCCTCCCGCCCGCCAAATGTGCCAATCCTTAATGGGGAGCAGGGGAGCAGTCCTTAAATCGGAACTTCCCCTTTTGGGTGGAGCTCCGCTTTAAAATCTGCTGTGTAAAGAAAGTTTACTTGTATGAGGTTCATCCTACTTTTGGAATTGCTGCCCTTTCTTTACTATTTACAATTTATTTAATGTCAAATATGTTTCCCTAAACTTTTTCCCCTATGACTATGAGAGCTGTAGCTCCAACACACATATGCCACTGTCATTTATCCACCTTTCCTCTCCCCTTGTCCATTCAGAAAAGTCTGATCTAAAGAGAATGACAGAATAAAGCGGAGCTCCACTCAAAAGGGGAAGTTCCACTTTAAGGCCTCGTCCCGCGCTCCCTGCTATGGATTGGCCCCTTTGGAGAGCGAGTACCTGATTTTGACAGGTACCTGCTCCCACCTCCGCTGCGATCACCTAGGTGATTGGAAACAGAGGTTTTCCTCCCCCTCCTCCTGCCTGGCAGTCTTCTGGGACACGTGACAGGTCCTAGAGGACTGCGGGACCCTTCACAATGTGCAGCGCTGCTCGCAAATCCACAGTTAAGCTGCAAGCTGTCACAGCCGGATGCCCACACTTAAGATGCCGATGCAGGGGTTACAGGACGGCCGGTGAACCTGGCTGCAGTGAGGACACCTCTGGATCCTAGGGCATATGAGTGGCTGTTTTTTAAAAGTCAGCAGCTACAGTTTGTGTAGCTACTGATTTTTATTTTTTCACCAAAGACTGGAGCTCCTGCTTAAAGAAGACAGGCAATAATTTGCAAATCTCATAAAGCTATATTTTATTCACAGTAGAAAATGTGAAACATACCAAATGTTTGAACTGAGAAAATGTACCATTATAATAAAAAAAGGTTATTTTGAAATTGATGGTATCAGCACGTCTCCAAAAAATTCAGGACAGGGCAACAAAAAGCTGGCAAAGTTAGTAGTACTAACAAGGAATAGCTGGAAGAACATTATGAAACTAATTATTCTGTTGCTAATTAGCAACAGATCCGTAACATGATTGGGTATAAAAAAGAGCTTAGAGAGTCAGTGTGTCTCAGAAGTAAAGATGGGCAGAGGTTCATCAATCTGTGAAAATCTGTGTCTAAAAATTGTCAGTTGTCAAACAACTTCAAAATAATGTTCCTCAACGAAAAATTGCTAAGACTAAATATATCATCCTCCACAGTACATAATATCATCAGGAGATTCAGAGCATCTGGAGAAATCTCTGTGTGCAAGAGACAATGCCAAAATATTGGATGCCCATGATCTTGGGTCCCTCAGACAATACTGGATTAAAAACAGACATGATTATGTGATGGAAATCACTTCATGGGCTCAGGAATACTTCTGAAAAATCACTGTCTGTGAACACAGTTTGCGATGCCATCCAAAAATGAAAGGCAAATCTGTCATGCAAAAAAAAAAGCCATATCTGAACATGATCCAGAAATGTTTCCATATTCTCTGGGCCAAAGCTCATTTAACCACTTGCCTACTGGGAACTTTTACCCCCTTGGTGCCAAGGCCAATTTTAAGCTTTCAGTGCTGTCGCACTTTGACTGACAATTGCGCAGTCATGCAACATTGTACCCATATGAAATTTTTATCATTTTTTTCACACAACTAGAGCTTTCATTTGGTGGTATTTACTAGCTACTGGGTGTTTTATTTTTTTTCACTCTAAACAAAAAAAGAGCAAAAAATTTGAAAAAAAAAGGTTTTCTTTGTTTCTATTATAAAATTTTGCAAACAGGTAATTTTTCTCCTTCACTGATGTGCTTTGATGAGGCTGCACTGATAGGCAGCACTGATGGGCACTGATAGGCAGCACTGATGAGATGACATGGATAGGCTGCACTGATAAGGCGGCACTGGTGGGCATTGATGAGGAGGCATTGATGATGTTGCACTGATATGCAGCAATGATTGGCACTGATAGGCAGCACTGATGGGTGACACTGATGGGCGGCGTTGACTGGCTGAACTGACTGACAGCACTGGCTGGAGGCACTGACTGATGGCACTGACTGGCGGCACTGCTTGGCACTGATGGGCAGCACTGATGAGCCCAACTACTGGGTTGCACTACTGGGCAGCACTGATGGGTGGCACTGCGGGGCACTGGTGGGTGGCACTGCTGGGTGGCTCTGCTGGGCACTGATGGGTGGCACTGCTGGGCACTGGTGGGTGGCACTGCTGGGTGGCTCTGCTGGGCATTTGCCGATTATCAGCAGTACTTTCCTCACACTGTGGCAGCGTGAGGAAAGTGCTGCCAATAACCGGCAACTGTATTTATATTGTGATCTGTTGTGTCATTGGACACAGCTGATGACGTGGTAAAAGGCCGCTGTGATTGGCCTTTTACCTCATCACTTGATCAGCTGTGTCAGTAAGCTGGGGGTGTGCGAGAGGGCTCGTTCTGGGAGGACGTCATATGATGCCCTCCCAGAACTGGACAACCGCGCTGTAGCTGTCATTTGGCTATAGCGCTGTTGGCAAGTGGTAAAAATGCTCTGTTGCAAAGTGGAAAGCTGTTCTCTGGTCAGACAAATTAAAATTTGACATTCTTTTTGGCAACCATTGGCGTCGTTTCCTCAGGACTAAAGAGGACAGCCATCTTCTGGCTTGTTATCAGCACTCAGTTCGAAAGCCCACATGTCTGATGGTATGGGGTACATTAGTGTGTATGGAATGGGCAGCTTGCCCATCTGGAAAAACACCATCAATGCTGAAAGATATATCCTAGTCTTGGAGCAGCATATACCATCCCATCCAGATGTCTTTTTCAGGAGAGGTCTTGAATATTTAAATAGGATAATGCTAACCTATATATTGCATCTATGGCAACAGCATGGCTTCATAGTAGAAAAGTACAGGTGCTTAACTGACCTGTCTGCAGTCCAGACCTTTCACCAATTGAAAATATTTGGTGCATCTTGAAATGAAAAATATGACAAAGAAGACCCAGGACTATAGAGCAGTTATAGAGCAGTTAGACTCATATATCAGACAAGATTGGGACAATATTCCACCTACAAAACTCTAGCAACCGGTCTGGTTCCCAGACGTTTACAGAGTGTTGTTAAAAGAAGAGGGGATGCTATACTGTGGTAAACATGGACCCGTCCCAACTTTTTTGAGAAATGTTGCTGCCTTCAATTTCAAAATGACCTTATTTTTTTACTTAAATTTGTACTTTTTCTCAGTTTACACATTTGATATGTCTTCTTTGTTCATTTTGAATAAAATATGGGTTGATGAGATTTGCAAATCATTGCATTCTTTTTTTATGTAGATTTTACGCAGCGTCCCGACTTTTTTGGAAATGTGGTTATAGTGTGTGTGTGTGTGTGAAAATCTGCAGCCTGCCTACATTGCCTTGTTGTCAGGCAAGTGTGCTTTTTGCTGGTGGTTTCTAGAAGAACTTGCAACTGTCCTTATCGTAAGAAGTAGAAAAAATGTTTTTCTGCCTGAACAACCATTCAGCATGTCCCAGAATGTTGATTAAAGCTTTGAGACTTTTGTTCCTGTTCTACAACTTTTCTTTTCATAGCATACATAATTGTAGTGAACATGTTCCCTTATCAGGAAGTCAGTGAAAGGTTGAAGAATTGCATCCAGGTTCAGATATTTGCCAGGTGTATGTCTGATGCTGGTCACCCATAATATTTTGGAATGGTATCTAAACTACACATTTCTATCCAATTACAGAATACCACATATCTGTTTTTCACAAATATTTTCTGTCCAATTTCATCCCATTTCATCCACTTTGTGGAAAAGTAATGTATGTTTGGGCTAATTGTACAATTCCCTGTCTAGCCAGTAATTTCTCTTTAGTGGACTGTTCAGTGTCATTCTGAAGTTCTATTAGCAAACCTGACCTGCTCAAGTTTATATTGGAAAATTCTCAATATGCATTTAGATAAAGAAATAAAATGTTTGTACATATAAAAATAAACTGTACTGTATTATATTAAGCCCCATTCACACTAGGACATTGCGATTCCGCCTGCGATTTCAAAATGCTCTGCTAAAATGACCATGCATGTTCAGGTGCCATTAATTTCACGATTGTTTATGCGATAAATGGCGCTGCAATGATGGCAAACCGCATTAGAAGGCACATGTCATCTAAAAGTTCCTGAACTTCTTTTGAGCGACAGACATCGCATGATGTGGTTTGCCGCCATTGTATTGCAATTTATCGCTGTACAATTGCAGCAGAACTGCACGCGTTCTGTGATTTGTCATTTTAGCAGATTGCCTTGAAATCAGTGGCAGAATCACGGTGATTCTGCCCACAATTCAAAACGCCCTAGTGTGAACGGGACCTGGGTGTAATAATGTCTTGTCCTCTCCCATCTCCCTTGTTTGTTCTAATGTTGATAATATGTACCTCAATAATACTCAATGATTGACTAAATATTTTAAAATGATAATATAAATAATATTAAAACAGCTACATCTGTGCTAAACATGCAACCACCTTTGTGATAAAATGGATCTGAACACAAAAAAATTAAGATTTAGGGTCCTTTTACACAGGTGTTTGTTTTTTTTCATCAGTTCAGTCATGTTTTTTCAAAGAAAAAACGGATCAGTTTTCATCAGTTTACATCCGTTTTTTCATCAGTTTAGATTTGTTTTCATCAGTTTTCATTAGTTTAAATCAGTTTTTTCATCAGTTTACATCAGTTTTTTCATCAGTTTACATCCGGTTTTATCAGTTTACATCAGTTTTTTCATCAGTTTACATCCGTCTTCATCAGTTTACATCAGTTTTTTCATCAGTTTACATCTGTTTTCATCAGTTTACATCAGTTTTTTCAGCAGTTTATACATCCGTTTTCATCAGTTTTTTCATCGGTTTGCATTTGTTTTCACCAGTTTACATCAGTTTTTTCATCAGTTTACATTCGGTTTCATCAGTTTATATCACTTTTTTTCACCAGTTTACATCCGTTTTCATCAGTTTACATCAGTTTTTTCATCAGTTTACATCCGTTTTCATCAGTTTACATCAGTTTTTCATCAGTTTACATTTATTTTCACCAGTTTCCATCAGTGTTTTCATCCGTTTTCCATCCGTGTTCATCCGCTTACATCCATTTTCATACGTTTACATCCTTTTTTTGTCCGTTTTCATCCATTCCGTGTTTTTTTTTTTTTTGTATGGAAGAAAAATAGGGTTTTCTTCCGTTCAAAAAAACAGATGTTAAAGGATATGGACATTAACGGATGTAAACAGATGATCATCCATTTACATCTGCTAGTCCATAGAAATGCATGGGTGTCCGTTTTTCATCCGTAAACAGATAGATGAAAAATGGATATATGGAACACCTGTGTGAAAGAGGCCTTAAGGCAGCTTCACACTGATTCGCAGCACTTTGGCTGCAGAGCAGTGTACCCCTAGTTTTGGTATGGGTTAGCTGAGTTTACCATATACTTCTATTGTGTCCTGTGGTTTTGGTGCATTTTCTGAAAGCACACCAAAAGGCCTGTATGCAAATGCACCAAAACCACAGGCCATAATAAATGTCTTACGCAAAATGCAACTAACCCGCAATAAAACCAGGGGCACACTGCACTGCACCCGTGCTGTGTCCAAAGTGCAGTGGGGCAGTGTGAAGCTGCCCTTATTTATATTACAGGGAACAGCGTTATCTGCTGCCATGAGTTTGGATTAAATCCTGTAGAAACACAATTTGTGGTTCTGACACATTTATATCTGAATTCCCATAGACAAATATTTTAAAACCATAATGCATTGGATGGCCTCTGGATACTGCAGGCTTAGAAGACCCAATAAAGGGGATTTTGGATAAGGCAGCCCCCTCACTGTAAAATGATGGGGGGAGGTGCACAGAACAGCCCTAGTATCAATTAATTGAAAGGTGAAGGATAGGGAACGTTAACAACCTGCATACAGAGAGATTAGGGTCAGTTAGGAAACGGTACTTTTATTTTAATTGCTAGCTCTTTGAACAATAAACACCTTTGATGCCTGTTTTTGTTGTTCTTATTACTTACTGATTTTTTGCATTGAATATTCATTTGTCACTCAGTCACTTTTAGTTGCTGTTCCATCCATAGTAAACATTTTTGTTCTCTGCAAGGCTTCCCTTAAAAAAAAAATAAGTGGGCTTTTGTACGGGTGGTTGTATTTTGGGAGTTTCATTTATTTTGGATGTATATTGGGTATTATTTTATGTTGATGTAATTTTAGATTTAACTACAAAGCTTTCATTTTTATATCAAAGTGGGCTTTTGTATCAGATAGGTGGTTTTTTTGGGAGTTTCATTTCTTTTGGAGGTTAATTAATTATTTATTTTATGTTGATAGGGCCTTTTTTTAAGTCTTGGGTGCTCAAAGCACATCATTCACTTGTTACTGACTGTTCTTGGAGCTGCCTTTTCTTAGTAGCAAACTACTGCCTTGTTTGGAAGAAAAAAAGCTAAGTGCAAAAATAGAAGTGAGGCATACTCCAGTTGCACCATTTTCCATGATTAAAACTGCTAAAACCGCTCCTTTGTAGTATCTTAATTCTCCTTGTAAAACCCCTGCCTGTTCTTTGAACTGTCTCTAGTGCATTTGTGCCTAGTCTTGTCCTCTTTTTGGCCAATATTGCACTGCTGAATTATCTGTGGTCTCTAAATTGTTGTAGTAACATATCTGCCTGTGCTCTATGTCTCTAGTTAATTTTTTATCAGTTCTTCCTCAATAAAAATATCCTGCTACTTGCCATAATTACACTGCTGTATCATCTGTGGTCTCTTTATTCTTGTTGAAAGATTGATAGAAATTGGCCAGAAGCATGACATTTTTGCATCATCAAGAACAGGGAATTAGCAAACTGCTGGCTAATTTCTATAAAAACAGGCCTATTACTGCTTAACAGCTGCTAAACAAATCTTTTTTTTTTCTAATTTGAAATAAATTAAATTGGGGTGCTGCTGCTGTGTGCAACCAAAGCTAATTATAAAAAAATGAATTCCACAGCTAAATACGCTCTGCCAGAATACTCTGTTGCTTAGGCTGTCCATGAGGGCATCATGGCCTTTATGTGCAGTGGGGTCCACAGGGGTGGTCAGCATACTTAGAGTTAGTTCACCTTTTCATGTTTGTGAAAATGTGAGCTGAAAGCGGAGCTCCACCCAAAAGGGGAAGTTCCGCTTTAAGCCTTTGTCCCCCGCTCCCCATTAAGGATTGGCACCTTTGAGGAGCAAGTGACAGGTACCTGCTCCCACTTCCACTGTGATTGCCTAGGCGATCAGAAGTGGAAGTTGTCCACCTACCCTCCTTCCCTGTTGTCTTCTGGGACACATGACAGGTCCCAGAAGACTACAAGGCCATTCACAAAGTGCAGTGCTTCTCACGCATGCGCAGTGGGCACCCAGCTGTGAAGCCACAAGCTATCACAGTTGGGTGCCCACACTAAAGATGCCGGCGCCAGGGAGAGAAGACGGCCGGTGAAACCAGCAATGGTGAAGACACCGCTGGACCGAGGGACAGGTAAGTGGCTGTATTTTAAGTCAGCAGCTACAGTTTTTGTAGCTGCTGACTTTTATTTTTTTTTTTTAGGTGGAACTCCGCTTTAACCTTTAAGGCATCGGCCAAGAGTGAAAGTTCAATGTTGTCATCAAAGCCACTTGAGAATAACCTGTTCCTATTATACGGTATTGAAAAAATGGCATTGGCACATGGCCCCCATAGCAATGCCCACCTACTTTTCCTACTATCCCTAAAAATGGTCAGAATTTACTAACAGGATTTACTCCCCCCTACCCACCCCCATAGACTCTTATGCGATTTTCCAATAAGTTTGGGTTCTCTGAATCCCAAACAAGATTAATTGAACCTTCAACCATTCTAATCCAGCCAGATTTGTTCATCCGTGTGTATCGCTACCCCCAAAGAAGGTGCTTGGTAATTTGGGTTCTCTGTTCTGCACCTCGACTCCAAGAACACCCTCATCCCCTCGGACACACCTGGTTGAATTAAAGTTACTTCAAGACATATCAGAACACGCGTATAGATACCTTTAACTCATCTGGGAAATAGACATAAGATGGTTTATTGGTAAATGAACTCAATGTTTTGGTATAGGTTAGAATAAATGGTGGTTTGAGCATAAATGAACACACAGAGGGTAGGTTCAGACACAGTCTGCTAGACCAGTGTTTCTCAATCTTTTTTTCAGTCAAGGCACCTTTTAAAATTATGGACAGTCCCGAGGCACCCCATTCTAAAATGTAAAAACTATTCTAATAGTTTTATATAACACAGCAACATCCACACATGGACACCCAACAATAGAGGGGATTTATTCTTTCAAATCAAATATACTTTTGCACACTGGTATTGACTAGTATTCCAATATTTCGCTCATATTTTCTCCATCACTCAGCTAATGTGACCCCATCTCTGACATAGAGGGGCAGGGGAAGGACCAGCAAGGATGCTGTGCAGGCAACTGACATCCTCCTTTTCAACTGATGATGTGCTAGACAGTATAATCACTATGCCAAGTTAACTTAGAAGTACTAACTTAGAGTTCTGTACCACTAGACTGGAAATACCTCATGAGTCAGCAAAGTAAGCAACAAACAGCACATATAAACATTAGCTGCAATGTGAATAATAATACTAATACTATAACTAGTCTAGAGTGCACTCTAGGAGAATGGCCAAGATACGGCGCAATGTCCTCTGAGAGATACCTCTTAGCATAAGCAATATATGAAGGTCTCTATGTAGTAGCTGTAAAGGAACAGTTTTTAGTCCTTAATGCTTCAGATGGCTAGTGTTGGGGCCCAGGTGTACGCAGGTGCACACAAGTACAGTCCCTGTCACACCTGTAGGCAGCAAATAAGATACCTGTATGGTCAGTTCCTAAGGGGCTCAGTCTCTTTCTCTAGCAGTAAATAGTAAATCCCCACACCATTAGCTCACCAGTCCCAGTCATACTGCCGCTCACCAGTCCCAGGGATATTGCAGTTCACTTTCTGTCACACACAGCAATTAGTCCACTCTTTGCTCTGCACCCAGGTGACTGTCTGCACTCAGCACTCCAGATCCGACTCACACCGTCAACATTCAGCAGTGATAGCACACACTGGACATGATGTGCACTCACTAATCGTCCTCGTGGCAAGAGGAAGCTCTTTCCCCTCCTCCTGGCTTTCTCCCTATGGGAAATGCAGTTCACAAGCACTTGATTACAGTAGAGTTTCTCTTCTATGGACTATATTTCCCACAGTGTAGTGCTGCTTGACTCAGTCTATTGTACTTTTCCTGCTCAGCAGCTCCCTCTTCTCACTGATATAGCCGTTAGCAGGGGCGGACTGAGCATTTGGAAACTTGGGCACTGCCCGAGGTCCCGGGGTCAGTAGGGGGCCCCATAAGATGCCCCTGGTACCTTTTTCATAGGCTTTTTTGAGTTTGGGCAAGGACACAGGGGCCCCATCATCCCCTATTGCCCGTGGGCCCCATGAGTTGTCAGTCCGCCTGTCAGGAATCTGGGTATGACCAGAAATGTGTGGACTGACACAGGGAAACGCAGGCTTCCGGTATAGTATAAAAAATACAATTTATTAAAGACTAACAATACATAAACGCAATGCAATACATAACACAGTGCAACAAACCAAACCTCCAACAAACAACCATACATACAACACTAAACGTAGTCGGGCAGGCCGGGTCGGTAGCAAACGGGCAAACAAGGTACCAGGAGCAGGCGGGAGAGTGGTCAGGACTAGCTGAGGTCAGTACAGGCAGAGTTCATGCAGAATCAGGATAGAAGCAAGCAGGATCAGGATACCGGGGCCAAGCGAAACAGTACAACAAGGCACTGACTGCAGGTCTGGCCATTCCTTAAATACACCTCCTGCAATCAGCCTCAGGTGATGGCTGATTGCAGGAGTGAGCTTCTGGTTGCTGAGAGCACCCGCTGGCTAGCCCAGGTACTGCAGCCCACAAGGCAGGTGAGTCCCACCACCATTGGCAAGTCCATTCCTGACACCGCCCCTGGCCACTTTAGCACAGAAAACAGCTGCAGCCAGTGTTTCTCTCACTCTCCTTTCCTAGCCAAGCACCTCACTACAGGTGTTACTGGCATGTGACTGTACATAGACATTCACAGCTGTATATCTGCAGTGTGAGATCTAACACCCTGTGTCTCTGTCTGCCAGTCTCAAGAGATATGGAGTAAGCTTTGGTAATGTCAATTCTATGCTGCTCACTATTCTCCTTGTGGGGGAGGAACCTGTACCTCAGGCCTATAGTGCAAACAAATGAAATAAGATAATAGGATAATATTATCAAACTGTTGATGGCATTTGTTTGCCACCATAAACAGAAACATGCAAAAATATCTGTAGCGCTACTCCCGTAGGAGCTGAAAGGATTCTGTCCAGGTTTCCCACAATCTTCACCCCACAGCCAGGCACACAGGCCCATTCACACGTTTCTTCAATGACCAGTCTTGGGTTGCTGTTTTTGTTTTAATTTTGGAGAACTTGGATAGGGTTGAGGGAATTAAGTGTGATACTCCAAAAATAAGAACTATATGCACTTGAGGATGTAGGAATTCTACAGGATAAGCTATAATATAGTCTGTGCTTGAAACAAGCAGTAGATTTCAACTTTAAAGTGTTACTAATCCCAGGACCCTGCATTCACTATATCTTGTCTCCCACAGTACACAGAGCATGATAATGAAATTATTTTAGTAAATACTGTATAAACTGCTAAATACCTTTTCTCATCAGCAGTTAGAGCAGTCTTGTGACTTCTATCAGTGTTGAGCAGATCACTGGTTAAAGCTTGTAGGAGGAACTTTCTTTCTGCTCTAGGAGGATGCAGAGCCCCTGATCTCTGTCTGGACAGTGCTCATTGGCCCTGTGCTGATCACATGCACTCTCCCAAGAAAATAAAAAACCTCTCCAGCAATACACACTAAACTAAGCATTTGCAGAAGGGCTATGGGTTCAGTCTGTCTTATCAGTATGGACATTTGAACAAGAGTAGGAGCAGATAAGTCAGGATCAAACAACCTTTTTACACAATGCAGAGGATTAACCCCTTAAGTTCCACAGTGAGTATAACAAGCATGCTTTCCTGCATATACAGACTGATTGTACTGTTGTTGGTTTAGTACAGTGTTTCTCAACTCCAGTCCTCATGGACCCCCAACAGGTCATGTTTTCAGGATTTCCATTATTTTGCACAGGTGATTTGATCAGTTTCACTGCCTTAGTAATTACCACAGCTGTTTCATCTGAGGGAAATCCTGAAAACATGACCTGTTGGGGGTCCATGAGGACTGGAGTTGAGAAACACTGGTTTAGTAACACTTTAAGGTAGTAGTAGTAGTAGTAGTAGTAGTAGTAGTAGTAGTAGTAGTAAGCTAGAGCAGAGTCCCTTCAAGTAGGAGATTAAGTGGACAAAGCTCTTCAGGACACCAACCAGTGTCCCCTTTAACTAGACCCACCGCTGACTCCCTAGCACCAAAGGAATTTTAGCAGCACAAAGTCTCTAAGATCCTTTTAGAGGTGTCTGTACTTACAAGGCCCAAGGACAGCTGGTTGCCTTCCTCCATGATACCAGAACAGATCTTCAGTAGACAGACACTCAGTCAGCAGAATTCAGGCCCTCAGGTCACCCACCTGAGGACTTCGACAGCAGATGCAGCAGTACTGCCAGGGAGGACAGCATGCCCTCTCCTGTATAGACCATTCCTATCCAGGAAAAGACCCAGTCTGTATATATTCAGTGCTCACTGAATATATACAGCTACCCAGCTTGCCATCATAGCCTGTCTCTCTGGGATAAGCCAAACCTGTATCAGTATTCATGCTGCCATCTGCATAGCTCCACATCTATGATGCAGAAGCTTCCCAAGCTTTCTGGATGCAGAGGGAGCTATCTGGCTGGCAGTAGCTGGACACGCTAAACAGACCTGAGCAGCATAACACAGCGGCACTGATTAAACAGTGTGCAAACTATGCTCTTACCTAACAATCACAACCACACTAACTACAGTGTGGCAACTAAATTTACTATTCAAGACACATACTAAATCTATCTATCTAAACCTAGCACCTATCTAAGAGGGTGCTACATATCTAATATTGAGCAGTCACAAAAGAAGCTCACAACCCACATGGAAGAAAAATATATTTGAAATATGTTTTAAAAATATTCTTCCCAAATATATTGACATATATTTGAAATGCTACAATTTTGGCCTTATTCAATATATTTCAATATATATATATATATATATATATATATATATATATACCGCATGTTGAAATGCATTTTTGGGGGCACTCGTGAGCAGCGCACGATGATGGCTGACTGCTGATCCACCGCAGGGCACATCAGCTCCTTCCCTGCCTCCTGGGGAGCCTGCTCTTTCCACCACCCTTGCCATTCTCCACTGACCCCCCCTGCCACCTATGTGGAAGAAATCCGTGGCCTCCAGCGCCTCCAGCTCTTGATTGGCGGGCCGGTCCG